TTCTTTTAGTTGCTGAAAATTGAGTACCAGCATAGACGTAGACGAAAATAGATCTAGTCAGGGTGTCTGATCGCGCTCCCGATGTTGTGTACAAAAATTCTTCCCATAGAGATTGCACGCAATGCAGTCTGTATGCAGTCTACGTGCATTGCGCGTCCATGCAAAAAAAGTCAAGGTTTTTTTTTCAATTCGAGATTCAAACCTTTATCTGTTGTGATCCTGAAGGTGATACCCAATAAGTGAGGTGTCATATGAAAGCGCAGGTTCTTCTCCATATTTCCCACAGGGCCGGCCCACCCCCAAATTGTAAAACTATCTTGCTTAGATTAGAATCTAGATCTAGGGTCTAGTCTATTCTCAAAGATACACTCATAAAAAACGACCGTGCAGATAAACTAGAGAAAGGCCAAGGTGGTGTCATTAGTTGACTCTTTTGTTTTCGGCATATAAAAGTATTAATGACTGCTTTAATATTCGAGAAATAGTTGTTTTTATACGCTCTCGGGAAGGTTACTCTTTATTGCAGTAACTTTGTTTTCCAGGTAACGAATAATATACAATACTTGGGTTCACTGTATATTAGGGAAGGTTACAATTGGGCTATTGCCCTCGGCACGCCTCGGGCAATAGCACAATTCTAACCTTCCCTTGAGCGTATAAAAACAACTATTTCTCTCAAAGCAGTCATTAATACTATACTATTTCTCTCAAAGCAGTCATTAATACTATATTATGTACGATGTTCCTCTTGTTCTCTTTTGTTATAATAAAACAAGGGCAATTAAGAGCACGATGGGAAGGAGACAAGGACAACTGAAGCAAGTAGTATATCATTATAAAACTTCTAAGATCAAACAATATATACTTTCTCTTCAAGCCAGACTTTATAATTAATCACAATAGATTCGTTTTTCAGCATACAGTGACATTGGCCTTCATGATCTACATGGCAGCAGCTGCAGTAAATTTTAGACAATAATAGTCGAGTTTGATCTATATACATTGTAAGCTTAAAGGTACTATGTCCCTTTTTCAGGCCAAAAAATGAAAAGGTTACATTTCAATGGCATTTGAAAGATAATACTATTTTAGAACTCCCCTAAAAAAAAATGGGGCTTGAAAATGTCTTTAGGTGGGAAAATAATGACTATTAGTTGTCAAATCGACTTAGGAGCTATAGAGCCAATAAGTAATAGTCTTGATTTTCAGACCATTGTACAGCATGGTCGTACTTTTTTATGCTGCGCAAAGATTCAATCAGTTTAATTTGAGCCATTACAAGAAGTGGGTTATTGTAGTAGACTAATTCTTTACACATCATTTTATGTTTTTCTTCTACCAAAGAAGAAGAAAAAGCCAGTCAGTCACTCAATACTTACAATGGTGACTGACAGTGAAGTCTAGCAAGTAAACGGGTTTCCTTGCATAATTTCAGTATTAGGACATTGCTAACTGAACGTTTTCACAGATAGGATATACATGACATATTCATAATTCCTGCATAGTTCTACAGAATTTGAGGTTGGCTGCAAAAGGGACATAGTATCTTTAATAGGGGACAGTGATATTGTCTATCAGCGGGTGTGTATTGGTGTGTGAATATTATACCCTGCAATTTCTGTGTGGATATTGATTGTTTCGATTTTTTTAGTGAAAGCGATTGACACACGAAGTGGAGAGGGTCCCCAAATCGGAGAGTTTCATAGGCGTAAGTGAATTGGGATTACATGTATAACAGATGTGTGCAGTTTATTATAATTGCTTGATTAGAATAGATTGTTATGCTTTATACCAGTTCGGTTTGGTTTAATTTTGTTTGATTGTGATGGTTTGTTTTACGGGACTGCTTGAAAAGACACGCGTTTGCTTGTAAGTATAACCAGGGAAATTTACGTCTTTAAGTCCTCTCCGATTGTTATGGTATTGAGGATTAATGTCAAACCTTTGGGCACTAGCACCCAGATTTGGTTCTGCTACGTTTACACAATGTTTCCGGCGGCCACGGCAGCCCCGTTCGCCCTGAACGTAGTGCGCCGTGGGATTTCAGCCATTTTTTCTCTGTATTGAAATTTTGTTAGGTCTTGTCAAGTTTTCTCACGGACTTTCACGGTATCCGTGACGGGCCGTGCGGGGAAAGGGGCTTCTGAGTCCTGGAGGCTCAAAGGTGCACTACGGTTCGGCCCCGGTCTAGCTGCCACGGATGCCAGTACGTTGCCCCCCGGCCCGTCACGTTCTGATGGGGTCCCTCATATTTATCACGTTTTGATCAAGGTTTGACGAGTTTTTCACGTTCTGTCAAGGCTTTCTGTGAATGAAACGTGGGTGCCGGGCAGTTTTGGAGCACGTTTGTGCACACGGTATTAAAAGAAGGCCTCCCAAGCAAAAGCAATCGTTGTATCCTGAGATTTCGACGAGACAACATCATGAATTCCCAAGATGGAGAAGATTTTGTGTTTGCATGTTTGCTGGGTGCATACATCAAGTCTTTGCGTCAGCAAGAAGAAGGCCAGCAGCAGTTGTACAGAGAGAGAGAAGGCCAGAGTTCAGCAGGCTATCGGAAGACAGAAGGCGGCAGCTGGGCCACTACTCTTCATTTCTCACCAGAGAGCTCCGCAACGAAGATGACAACGCTTTCCAGAACTATCTGAGGATGCCTCCAGAGCTCTGCCATGATATCCTGGAAAGAGTAACACCAGCCATCAAGAGACAGGACACGAACTTCCGCTCTGCCCTACCAGCGGTCAGCATCTGGCCACTGGGGACAATTACTCGTCACACTTCTATGCGTTCTGGTGCAGTAAAGCAGCCATCTGCCATAGGGTGCCAGAAATGTGCAAAGCCATCGAGGAAGCCAACAAGGACGAAGTGTTTGCCGTTCCTGTGACGCCCGATGAGTGGAGAGCCCTTTCCCAGGAGTATGAAGACAAGCTGAATGTGCCTCATGCGGTGGGAGCTCTGGACGGGAAGCGTATTGACTTCAGCAAGTCACCCAACACAGGCTCCTTGTACCACAACTACAAAGTTTTTTTTCAGTATCCCATTCATAGCCTTGGTGGATGCCCATTATCATTTCATATGGATTGAAGATTGCCACACGTCAAACCGTCACACGCCGGAACGCGCCGTGATTGAACGCGACGAAACAGCTACCATACACCCTAGCTTGCCGTGACAATCGTGACAAAACGTGGCGAAAACGTGGCAAAACAGGACAAAATGCGCAGCAACCGTGGAACAACCTGGACTAAACGCGCACCCTAACGCGACAGAACGTGACAACACTTGAAAGGACCGTGAAATGCCGGGGAATACACAGGCTTCCCGTCCCACTACGGAACGCCTCTACTGTCACGTTTAGTTGCGTTCACCCCGTTTTACTATGGCCTACTAGGTTTCTCATCCACACCGTGACTGCAGTGACAAATTTGTTGACAGTTTAAAAAATTGGCCCGGCATCCACGGCAATCACAGTCTGTCAAATTTGCCCATTCCGCCCCTCCCCCCCCCCGCGTTGTCTTACGTCCATCCCGTTTCGTAAATGGTGGCCTCAAACGTGATTGCCGTGGCCGCCGGGAACATAGTGTAAATGTAACATTACGAACCCGGGACCTCCGGGTTACAAAACTGCTCTACCAATGAGCCACCGTGCCCAGTTTGACTGTTAATTGGTAGGGTATTGAAGAAGTTTGATATAACATGGAATGTGATATAAGATTCGAGTACGTTGACTAAACAATTAAGGTTTCAAAGATTTGTAGATACCATTATAAACGATGAAAAATTCATTTTTCATGTGATAACAATTTTTGAAGTTACAAAATGGCCTGTAATTGTTTGTTGAAATGGTTTTAAATGCCTGTCCCCTCGTGATTACCCGTGCATTACAGCCTTGATAATATCCCTCATGAAAATACCATTGCACATTTATTGTTTTGTCTTGATCCTGAATGGGCCCTATAGAACCAGTGCACAAAGAAGATAGCTGTACAAAATAATGTAATATATTGAGTGATGCAAAGGACGACAATATATGTTGTATCTTTTATTTTTTTTATTTTTTTAAATCTAGAAAGATGTGACATGCTGGATGCTGGATACCCGACAATTTCTTCTGACCTCTTCACCATGGCAACGTGAAATGGATAGGAACTTGATGACTAGAGAAAGCCGGTCTGATGTCAAGGAGGAAAACATCCAAGCTCTCTAATGGAAAAAGGAATTCAATTTGTATAACTATTATGCTTCCCTAATACCAAGAACCTGGTCCAGATGCTGCAAAAATATTCCATTTCCAAACTAAAACTTATGAATGACATCTCCTAAAATTATCATCAGCGACGACTAGCTCCTTTATTCCACTGTGAGGCATCTTTGGCACCATCCAGTAGTAGACATCAGAGGAGTCTAGGTAAACCTTTGCAAAATCTGAGAAATGCCTCAGACCAGCTTTAATCTGACTGGATAGAACGCAGAAAAATAAAACAAATATGGCTACACCCTCGATACGTAATGTGTCTAGGTACGCAATGGTTATCGTACTGTTGCAGTATATGTTTTCTTATCCGTCCTGGAGCGGCAATTTGTTTATTGCGTTTGTATGGTCAGTTTTCTTCCTAAAGCGACTATACTTGAAACAAGTTGAACTCAGAGAAAATGAAATCAAGCTCGTTGAAAAGCAGAGATTACTGTCAAAAGAAAACGAGAAAATTATCCAAGATTTGAAAGGTAGGTTACGAAACGAATGTGATAGTCATTGGCAAACTAAACTGAAACTCCAACTGTCAGATTCGAGACTCTGTGAAAGTAATACTTTGGTCTATAAAACACAAGACGAAATCTCTCAACTGAAGTTTGAGTCCCAAAAGGAACTGGAGAAATTGTGGAATGAATTGGTCAAGTCGAAAGATGCAGAGAGTCGATTGGCGCTGAAGAACGCAGAACTTAACGATAAAATCGATAAAATCACTGCAACGTATAAGACACTCGACGGTGAGACACAGATGTCCTTGAATAAACTTCGAGTCGAAGTTTCCGAAAAGGAGACTAAAACACTGAAAACAAAAAGGAAGCTCTCAGAAACCAAGAAGGAACTAGAGAAATGGCAGACCAAATTGGTCAAGTCGCAAGATGCAGAGAGTCGATTGGCGCTGAAGAACGCAGAACTTAACGATAAAATTGCTAAAATCACTGCGAAGTATAAGACACTCGGCGTTGAGACACATCTGTCCTTGAGTAAACTTCGAGTCGAAGTTTCCGAAAAGGAGACCGAAACACTGAAAACAAAAAGGAAGCTCTCAGAAACCAAGAAGGAACTAGAGAAATGGCAGACCGAATCGGTAAAGTTTAAAGATGCAGAGTTTAGACTGGTGCAGATGAACGCAGAACTTAACGATAGAATCGCTAGAATAAATGCGACGCAGAAAAAACTCGATGCTGAGACTGCAGCAACATTCTCAGAAACGAAAACAAAACTTGGTAGGACAGAAGCTGCACTTACTGCTAAACAAAGAGATCTCGAAGATGCCCAAGCCAAGCTTGAAAGAGAGGAAACGGATAATCTTTGCATTATTTGTCTAGATTCCGATAAGAACACTGCTATGGTGCCTTGCGGACACACAAGCACATGTTACACTTGCTCTCTGGAATTCTACAGAAAAGACAATGCGAAGTGCCCATATTGTCGTCAATTGATTGATCGGATTCTTAAAATTTATTTATGAACTCGCATAAGGAAAGCCAATACATGATTTTTCTTTTTCAGTACCCGAAATGAGTTGTAAGCATGCTTTGAAATTGCTTTCAGACTCTATGGGTTAGTGGGATCGGTCAATTACTTTAATAGATACTTATATCCTGTGATGTAATGGTATCGTCTTGTCAAGACTGCATATTCAGATGAGCGTAATTACAAATAGGCCTTCCTCTAAAAACTATGAATCGAGGAGTTTAGAAGGAATTCCAAGAAGACACTGCCTCATACTACTATCTAATTTTTGTTTCATCTTTAATCTACATACACGAGCTAATATAGCCGCATTCACCATCATAATGCCAGTATGATATTCATACGGGCTTGAGCGGGGGGGGGGGGGGGGGGGGGAGGATTGATCTCGAGAATATTGAAAATGCCATCAGTCACCTAATTCTTGGACACCGAGGTAGTCTGTATGTAATTGTCATAGCTTAAAGATAAACTTTAGTACTGGTAATGCGATTGCATTGTGAAAGAAAAGGTATGGAAAGGATCAGAAACAGTTTATCATGTAGCATGTAAGTATTGGTGTGCCCTGCAAGGTTCTGGAGTCATCAAAATCATAATAAATTTGACCGAGTCTTGGTAAAGTAATTGCACTGTACACAGAAAGCTATGTATGGGTCAACACACATGGTGTCGGGGCTGGTACTACCTTGATTTCCTTGTCTGTATGCTTGCCAGTATACATTTTCTTCCAAAATTGTTTGGCACATGTCATTTATTTGTAATCTTGAACATTCATTGTAAGTTTCGTTTGATTCTGTGAGAATTAATTTTTTTTTTTTTTTACCAGAACTCAAGTTTATCTTTAATATATAAAGTATCTATACAATGTACTTTCATGAAGAGTAATAGTGTTTCCGTGTTTTAATTGCTATGAAGGTAATTTCAGATCCCAAATGTGTGAAATTTAGTCAATACGATCATTCCAATTCAGCTCCACTTTCAAAAAAAATGTGGTGCCCGTTAATTAATTATTTAATAAAAAATAACAATATATGGGCCGGCTCGTTGTGCGTAATATAACCAACACGAAAATGCCAACAAAAAAGCCAACATCGACATTGACTTAATTACGACGTAAAAGGCGCTATCTTGTTTTTTCAACGGCTTTTTCTAATTATTTAATATTTTGGTGGTACACAAGTATTAGAAATTGTTATATTTATGGATATTTCAGCCGTCTCTGAACCTGATGATTTTGTCATATAAATTGTATGTTTTTTTCAAATTTGACACTCATTTTTTCATTATCTCACAAAAAAATATTTTGTGTAGCGCCCTCTGCAACAGAACTGAACCATCACTTTAAGGTGAAATTCAAATGAATATATATTCAAGCGATCTTTGTGTATATGGGTTTGTCAGTGTATATTGTGAGAAGGTGTGTGTGTATTTGTAGCGAATAGTGGATTGGGTAGTAAGGGAGGGAGATATCATTTGTTTTTGTATTATTACTGATTTCTTTCCATTTTCTATCTTCGAACGTAATTTATGAATAGTACATGTATTGGATTATTTCAGTTATGTTATTATAATGAAAAAGTACAGTATTTTGAAAAATTATTATAATTGATTTGATATTGAATTATTTCACAATCTAAATTACGGAGGAAAAGTTTGTCTGTAAATGTGTGTGACAGAGAGAGAGAGAGAGAAAAAGAGAGAAAGAGAGAGAGAGAGAGGGAAAGAGATCTATGTAAATTGTCACCATGTTAATGAAGAGAATGGCCTATTTTCTATTATATCCAGCCGACAAGAACGAAGGACACGTACGTGTATAATGTTATTTTTAAATAGAAAAAAACAAAGAAAAGACCCTTTGTCCTGTGTTGAATCGGTTTCAAGCAGCAACATCAAATAGGTTTCGCTGTAAATCGGAAAGAACCTAAAAGTTGACGCTTTCATGCATTTTCGAATCATTGTGGCAAAGTATCGAGGCACAGCTATAGCAGAACATATCGTCCACGATCGCGTTCGCTACTTCGAAAGTAGATTTCCTTTGTTGAAAAGACGTGCAGGACAAATACAAAGTATGTGAAACATTATTAATTTTGGACGATATTTGTCTTGTTGTTTATTGCTGTCAAGATATTAAAATAATATAACAAGGGCAAGAGCACAATGGGAAGGAGAAAAGAACAGCAAAAGCGAGTAGTATATCTTCATATAACTTCTAAGATCAAGCAATATATATTTTCTCTCCAAGCCAGCATTTTCAATTGATCACAATACATTCGCTTTTCACCATGCAGTTTCATTGGCCTTCATGATCTACATGGCCGCAGCTGTAGTTTATTTTAGAGCATAAAATTCGAGTTTGATCTTTATACATCGTAAACTAAGTAAGTGAAAATGATATTGTGTATCAGTGGGTGTGTATCGGAGTGTGAATAGTATACCCTGCAATTCCTGTGTGGCTATTGATGGTTTCGAATTGTTTGTGTGAGAGCGACGGCATCATTGAGTGGGATTCCCCAAATCGGAGAGCTTCATAGGCGTAAGTGATTTGTGATGACGTGTACAACAGTTGTGCTTCATAGTCATACAAGCATGGTTTGGTTTCACTTGGATTGATAGTGATGGTTTGTTTTACCGGACTGCTGAGAAAACACGTGTTTGCTTGTAAGTATTAGCAACCAGGGGCCTTAAAGTAGATATTCATTGATTTTAAAAACTTACTTTATTTGCATTTTTGCAAAGTTGAAACTTTGATTCGACAATGTTATCAAAATTCAATGCTTGGAAACATTCGAAGTAATGATTATTATAAATTACAAAACGCTTAAATACAGCCCTGGCATAGCACCTGAAGGGCTCTCCGAACCCTGCTGAAATGTGTGAGATCACAGTATGGACATGATTTGCACAAGCAGACGATGTCCCATGACATCTCACACATTTTCATTGCCTGTGTTTTCATCTTCTCTTGAGTTCTTTCTCTTACTTCACTACCGTCAGGCTAAATGTAAGATCTATCGCCTCACTCTAAACCCCGCGCATGGCTTTATTTTGATGACAAATGCAGCGATACAAAAATAAAGGAATCTGTCGCTTGTAAACAAAATAAGACGCCATTGTATATTCAGCTGCACACAACGCGGTATGTCCGGCGTTTCAAGAGGGAGCAAATGCCGTCCTTAATATCATTCCGGGGGTTTTCAATTCGAAAGTCTGTTTTCTTTGATTGTTAATTAACCCCTATCCTGTGTATTTACAAGCAAAACAAAATTAGCTATCAGAATCGGGTCATAACCCCTTTTGAATGGTTTGACATGCCTTTACATTTATATACACTAAACTCATTATAATTTGACAAATAATAGCTTTTCAATTATGTTCATTCTTCATGGGATGTCGTCTGCTTGGGCAGTGTTGGTCCATATAGTGACGTCATTAAAACATTTTTCGGGCGAATCTCTCGTATATCCCAGCTGCTATGGAGGTGGTTGTTTTGTATTTGTATAAATCACCCGATATTAGTTGACCTAAAACTTGTACGATGGCCATCTGTTAGCTTTCCAGTTTCTGGTGATACGTTAGTTGACATATTTTTGATTGTCTATGAATTTAATCTTTAAGTCCTCTACGATGGTTTTGGTAATGAGGATTAATACCAAACTGATAGGCACTAGCGCATAGATTCGTTTACGAAAACTGCTCTACCACTGAGCCATCGTGTCTAGTTTTACTGGTCGTTTTCAGGGTACTGACGAAATTTAATAAAACGTGGAATGTGATAAACAAGTAACAATACTTATGTTTACTGATATTTGAGTTGTTTGATGAATAGTTTGAGATGAAGTTACGAGGTGATTGACAGTGTTGGTTATGAAGACTTATGATATGATTCCAAAGATGAACATGTCTTTTTTCATGTGAATTAAAATTCTCAAGATTACGGAATGACCTGTAACGGTATGTTGAAAAAATTGTAAATGCATATCTTCTATTAGATACCACTGCATTAACAGCCTTGATAATAATATCGCTAAGGAATACACCACTGCTCGTTATTTTTCTTTTCTTTTCGTGATCTTTCATGAGCCACATAAAACCAATGTGGATAAAAAAGAAAGCTGTCGAAAAAAAGAGTTTAATATTGAGTGATGCAAAGGACAAAATTAAGTTTTTAATCCTTTTTTCGTTCTTCTTCTTTCTGTAATCTAGAATGGTGTGACATGCTGGATGCTGAATACCTGAGAGAGAAAACCCCCGTGTGACGTCAAGGAGAAACGCATCCTAGATCTCTAATGGAAAAGGAAGTCATTCTGTATAACTAGTATGCTTTGCTTATACCAAGAAACTTGTTCAGATGATGCGAAATATTCTATTTTTCCCCAAGTAACAGGTCTATTACAACTCCTAGAATTATCACCACCAGAGAATAACTCAATGGTTTCACAGTGAGGCATTTTTGGCATCAACCAATGAAAGACGTCTGGAGAGTCTAGGAAACCATTTGCCAAGTCCAAGATAGATCACCTTTATTTTGACTAGATAGAGTGCAGGAAAATAAAACAAATATGGATACACTCTCGATACATAATGTGTATAGCTATGCAATGATTATGGTACCATTGCAGTATATGTTTTCTTATCCAACTTGGAGCGGATATTTGTTTTTCTTAGTTGAGTTTGTTTGGTCTGCTTTCCTCCTAAAGCGACTGTACTGGACAGAATGTGAACTCAGAGATAATAAAGACAAGCAGCGACTACTTCCCCCAAAACCGGAGAAATTGAAAGTGCAGAGAATGCCTCTAGATTTAAGCGAAAAAACAATGCTTGGGCTACTTGCACAGATTTCAGATTTGAAAGGTAGGTTTCACAACGAATGGAATAGTCATCGAAAGACTCAAATGAAACTAAAACTGTCGAATTCGAGGCTTTATGGAAGTAATGCATTAGTCCATAAAACACAAAACGAAATCACTAACCTGTTTTTTGGGAACCGAATTTACTTAAACAAACTTCGAGTCGAACTTTCTGAAAAGGAGACAGAAACACTGAAAACAAACAGGAAACTCTCAGAAGCACATGACCAACTGGAGATATTGCGGACCGAATTGTTCAGGTCAAAAGATGCAGAGAGTCGACAGGCGCAGAAGAACGTAGAACTCTCTGTAGCAAACCTTAGTATCACTGCGGCACAGGAGAGACTCGAGGTTGAGAACCAAATATACTTTAACAAACTTCGAGCCGAATTTGACGAAAAGCAGACTGAAATAATGAATTTAAACGGGACGCTCTCAAACACACAAAAAGAACTGGAGGTATTGCGCACCGAATGGGTCAAGTCGAAAAATGCAGAGAGTCAACTGGCGCAGGAGAACGCAGAACTCTACGATAGAATCGCTAAAATAAATGCGACGCAGAAGAGACTCGACGTTGAGACTCAAATTTCAATGAACAAACTTCGAGACGAAATTTCCGAAAAGAAGACTGAAACACTGCAAACAAAGAGGAAACTCACAGCAACAGAAACAAAACTTGGTACGACCGAAGCTGCACTTACTGCTAAACAAAGAGCTCTTGACGATGCCAAAGCCAAGCTGAGAAGACGAGAAACAGATGCTCCTTGCAGTATTTGTCTAGATTCCGATAGGGACACTGCCCTGCTGCCTTGCGGACATGCAAACACATGTTATAATTGCTCTCTGACACTGCACTCAAGAGATGATGCGAAGTGCCCAGTTTGTCGCCAATTGATTCACCAAATTGTTAAAATTTATTTATGAACTCGTATTACGAAAGCAAACACATGATTTTCCTTGATCAATACTTCGAAATGAGTTGTAAGCATTCTTTGGTATTGTTGTAAAACTATTTGGTTCAGTGGGGTAGGTTATTACTTAGATATATCTTTATATACTGTTCTCTCAATATTAACTTGTGTTAATTTATTATGAGCGTTACGGACACAATCTATGCTTTTCGGGTTTTCGCCTCATTCTGTTATCTGAATTATTTACTGTATTCTCTATGTTGCAATCATTGTTACATAATAATTTGTATATACATAGTGTTTCACATTGTACCGTTAAGAAGAAAATAAATGTTAATAAATTTCAAATTTCAATTTCAAATATCCTGTGATGTAGCGGTCTTGTCTTGTCAAGACTGCATATTCAGATGATCATGATTACAAGTAGGCCTACCTCTCAAAAATATAATTCGAGGTGTTTAGAAGGTACTCAAAGATTATACTGCCTCGTATTATTGCATAGTCTTTGTTTCGTCTTCAATCGTTATACACAAGTTTATAGCCACCTTCATCTTCATAACGCAAGTACGGGCTATACAACAACAACAAAAAAAAGGGGGGGGGGGCTTATCTTGAGAATATTGAAAATATTGCCTAATATTTAGGCAATGAGGTGGTTTCTATGTGATTTTAAAATATAACATAGTATAATTTAATGACGATGTTTTCATTCAGTTATCATGAGTTCACCATATTGCATCAACATGACCGAGCCGACGTTGGTGATGAGGATTTCTAAAAAATATTAAAAAACTGGAGGAATTTCAGATCCATGGCCCTGGGTTAGCCTATACGTGGTTTTGGTCAACTTATTATGTTTATTAAAGAGGAACTCCAGACCTATACGAAGGTGGGCTTTTAATCGAAACGGACAATTAAGACGAACAGTTTAGTGTAAGTGTGAGCTAAAACCGATTGTAAAAAATCAGAAAGTTGTGATTTTTGTAGTTGCGATTAATCAAACACGAATTGGCAACTATGTGACGTATCTTGCAAGGTACGGCTTCACGGTCGATTTCATCATACCTTTTGGCCAATATCGGGGAGACCTTAGTGAAGGTATTGAAAGAAGCTTACATTGTATAGGGGCCCAAAATATTTCGTTGAAACTAATGTACCAGGACTATGTGTACGGAGGGGGGAGGGGGGGGGGCAAAATTAAAGTGAATATGATTGTGAGCAGGGGGGGGGGTGTTTCATAAAGCTGTACGTAAAGTCACGCATGACTTTACGAATGACTAGAATGTGAAGAGCCAAATGGGATTCTGAAATCCTTTTAATTGCATAAGCTAAAGTTGAAATATGCAAATGTAGACTAACCTTATTATAATTAACAAAACATTCTAATGCAAAGTGTATTTTGGGCTATGATTTAATAGAGATTATAGGAAAACAGTCAAACTTTGTTAAAATGACAGGAAAAACTTTGGGAATCCCATTTGGCTCTCCATATTCAAATCGTTCGTAAAGTCAATTAATTTCGGATTTGGTGCATTTTAGTTGGATAGTCAATACATACAAACGTAATTGTATGTGTTTTACATCCTAATTCAATAGATTTGTGAAATCAACCATCACAATGTTACAAAGTACCTTTAACTTTACGCACAGCTTAATGAAACACCCCCTGGTCACCTTGCTGTGTATGGTGTTTCGTGTATTTGTGTGGGTGGGGTGTGAGGCCTTGGGTAGGATGTGAGAGAAAGAGATAGAGATAGAGATCGAGAGAGAAGAGAGAGAGAGAGAGAGAGAGAGCGAGAGAGCGTGAGTGAGAGAGAGAGAGAGAGAGAGAGATAGGGGGAGATCTATCTAAATTGTCACCATGGTAATGAAGAGAATGGCCTATTTTCTATTATATCAAGTCGACAAGAACGAAGGACATGTAAGCGTATAATGTTATTTTAAACAGAAAAAAGGGAAATAAAAGACCCATTGTCCTATTTGAATCATTTTCAAGCACCAACTTAAAATAGGTTTTGCTGTAATTCGAAACAACCTGAAAGTTGACGCTTTCATGCATTTTCAAATCATTTTGGCAAAGTATCGAGGCACAGGAAACTATAGTGGAAAATATCGTCCATGATCTCGTTAACTATACTCCTAATACTTTTTCTTCCTCTTCTCTTTGGTGAAAAGACGTGCAGAAGAACACATCAAAGTACGTAAAACATTATTCATTTTGTACAATTTTCTTCTTGTAATTTGTTGTTGTCAAGATATTAAAATAATAAAATAAGGGCAAGAGCAAAATGAAATAAGAAGACGTGTACAGCACATGTGTGCAGTGTATTATAATAGCCTAATTAAAATGGACTGTTATGCTTTATAAAAAGTTTGGTTTGGTTTGATTGTGATGGTTTGTTTTACGGGACTGCTAAAAAGCACGTGTTTGCCTGTAAGTATAAGAAACCAGAGAACTTTACGTCTTTAAGTTCTCTCCGATTGTTTTGGTAATGAGGATTAATGTCGAACCTTTGGGCACTAGCGCCCAAATTTGGTTACGAACTCGGGACCTTCCGTTTACAAGACTGCTCTAATACTGAGCCATCGTCTCCAGTTTTACTGTTAATTGGTAGGGTATTGAAGAAGTTTAAAATACCGTGTAATGTTATTTACAAAATAACAAATATCTATCTACACATTCTCATATTTGAGCTGTACAAGCGTTATTTTTGATAAAACTGTCGAAGTGAGATGTAGATTTCATCAAGTTTACTAAATAATTTCCGTTATAAAGTCTTGTAAATACGATTATAAAAGATGTACATTGTATTGTTCATGTGATTAAATTAGTGAAGATAACAGAAAGACCTGTTGGAGTATGTTGAAATAACTATAAATGCAAATATCCCCTATTAAATACCCGTGCATTAACTGCCTTGATGAAAAGACCATTCCACATGAATTGTTCTTATTTATCATGATCCTGCATGGGCCACATAGAACCAATATAGCTGTCGAAAAGAATATATAGTGAGTGATGCAAAGAACAACACTTTAATCGTAATCCTTGTCTTCTTTTCTTACTAGAATCTAGAGTGGTGTTACCTGCTGGATGCTGGATAACCGAAAAGTATTTCAACCCTGCTGTCATCGGGCACCTTAAAAAGGATGAAATATTTATGACTACAGAGGAACGCATCTGACGTAAGGAGGAAAACATTTTAGCTCTCCAATGGAGAACAAAAATCATTATGTATAACTATTAGACTTCACTAATACCAAGGACCTGGTCCACATGCTGCCCAAATATTACATTTCCGAGGTGAAATGTCTGAATGACAATTCCTAGAATTAACATCACCGAAGACTAGATCCGTGGTTCCATGGTTAGGCATCTTTGGCATCATCCAATGAAAGACATTGGAAGAGTCTAGGAAACCCTTTGCAAAATTCGAGATATGCCTCAGACCAGCTTTGATATGACTGGATAGAACGCAGAAAAGAAACAAATATGGCTATACACTCTCGATACGTAATGTGTCTAAGTACGCAATGGTTATCGTACTGTTGCAGTATATGTTTTCTTATCCATCATGGAGCGGCAATTTGTTTATTGCGTTTGTTTGGTCAGTTTTCTTCCTAAAGCGACTATACTTGAAACAAGTTAAACTCAGAGAAAATAAAATCAAGCTCGATGAAAAGCAGAGATTACTGTCAAAAGAAAACGAGAAAATTATCCGAGATTTGAAAGGTATGTTACGAAACGAATGTGATAGTCATTGGCAAACTAAACTAAAACTCCAACTGTCGGATGCGAGACTCTGTGAAAGTAATGCTTTGGTCTATAAAACACAAGACGAAATCTCTCAACTGAAGTTTGAGTCTCGAATGGAACGTTCCGAAAAGGAGACTGAAGCACTGACAACAAACAGGAAACTCGCAAAAACCCAGAAGGATCTGGAGAAATTGCGGACCGAATTGGTCAAGTCCAAAGATGCAGAGACTAGAGTCGACTGGCGCAAATGCTAGCAGATGGTAACGAAAGAATCCTTCGACTCACTGCGACGCAGAAGAGACTCGATGTTAACACTGCAGCAAAACTCACTGCAACGGAAACAAAGTTGTGTAGGACCGAAGCTGCACTAACTACCAAACAAAGAGCTCTCGAGGATACCCAAGCCAAGATGAAAAGACGGGAAACGGATAATTCTTGCATTATTTGTCTAGATTCCGAAAAGAACTCTGCTCTGGTGCCTTGCGGACACACAAGCACATGCTACAATTGCTCTCTGATTCTCTACAGAAGAGACAATCCGAAGTGCCCAGTTTGTCGAACATTGATTGACCAAATTCTTAAAACTTATTTATGAACTCGTATAAAGAAAGCTTGTACATGTACACGAGTTTGCTTGATTAATACTCGAAATGAGTTGTAAGCATGATTTGGTATTAATTTTTTAACACTGTATTGGTTAGTGGGTTATGGGTAAATATTATTTAGAAGTATTGTTATATCCTGTGATGTAATGGTCTTGTCTTGTTAATACTGCATATTCAAATGAGCGTGATTACAAATAGGCCTTCCTCTCAAAACTATAAATCAAAGTGTTTAGAAGGTATTCCAAGAAGACACTGCCTCGTACTACTATCTATATCTTTTTTCGTCTCCAATCTATATACACAAGCTAATAGCCGCCTTCACCTTCATAACGCCATTATGATATTCATACGGGCTGGAGCGGGGGGGCGGGGGGGGGGGGGGCTGATCTCGAGAATATGAAATACAATCAGTCGCCTAATTCTTGGAGAGCGAGGTGGTCTCTATGTAATTCTCATAGCTTGATATAAAGTATATATACAGTTTACGATCGTGACAAGTAAATTATGTTTACGTGTGTGGGTGTGGGTGGGAGGCTGTTGTGGTGTGATGGAGTTCTTGCTTGTGACGTTATGTTATTGTGGTGTATATACTTGTGCGAGTGTGTATGTGTGAAGATGGGAGAGTTGTGGATGGTAGTGGCGTTGTTTGGGATTTTGATTTTATCAGGTGGGCTGTATAACGTACAGACCACCTTATAATTTCGTTAGAATTGCCTTTATTTATTTATTAGGTGGTCTGTCGTTTCCGACAGATCACCTATTGTTTTCGTCAGAATTTTCTTTCTTCTTTATTATTATTTATTTATTCTTTATTTTTATTTATTTTACCCCCTTTTTTGTGAACAGGATAACTCAAGATCGGTTTGGTAAATTTCGTTCAATTTTGGCACAGTCATAGGTCATTGTCATGAGACGTGACAGAAACATTTTTAAGGTCATCAAATCTTCATGACGTCATCCAGGCGCCATTTTGTGTTTTTTGGGGTACTTTTTACTCATGATCATATCTTCATAACGGAAAGGCATTTCTTATTCATATTTATCATGATTAAGGTTAATATCTGTCCGGTCAATTTCAGGTCAAAAAACGCGCGCGCATGCGTACGTCCGCGCGTCAGCGTGCGCGCAAAAAATAAAAATGCTCAAAATTGTCTCAAATTTTTTTTGCATACGTTTCATGCCATTTTAAGCATTTCGCAAAAAAACTCGCACACGCACATGCGCGCGCGTTTTCGCGCGAAATGGCATTTTGCAAGATAAAATCGCCAAATTTTTTATGTCATCATATTTTTCACATTTTTCCAAGCATTTTGATACCTTGTTCACCTTTTTCTGCCCATTAATAACGGAATGAGCGTCCGTTTAAGATAATGTCCGTGCGTGCGAGCTCTTGTAATACATAGCATGCATGGGCAAAAACATGCCTATACAAAATCCATTGTAGCGCTTTAGGATGCAAGATGAACCCAATTTTGTTTTCATATTTTGATAGAGTATGAATTGGAGATATGATTTCATGTCTCATTTGACCCTCAATTAACTCATGACGTCATCATAATGGCCTCCGGACTCAAAATTTCAATTTGCATATTATGATGTCATCATATTTACGGAAAATTGATTGTATCTCTGTAAATATTGATCAATTTTCATCCAAATTTTGATATGTTGTAGCTGAGATAATTCTTTATCAGAAATATGCCATTTATTTTTCATTTAGAGGACGTCATCATAATTAAATATTCGATTAAAGGCGACAATGCATAATTTGTCATATTTGCGTGTTATGTCTATGGGAGGTCACTTTTTTCAAAACATGAATCTGCATGACAAGGTGTTTTGACCAGTATCTCGGTTGTTATTCAACAGTTTTCTCCCAAATTTTAGTATGCTGTAGCTGAGACTATTTGCTATCTAAATATTTCCTCATTTTTTTTAATCAGTTGTCAGGATCATGCTTATTCTCATCATCATCATTAACATTATCGTTTTTATCGTCATATAACATTATCATTATCATCATCATCACCTTTACTATCATGATCATCACCATGTTCATCATGATCATCATTGTTTACATGTCTATATAACTTGTCCCATTCTCAAATCTATCATAAGACTTAGACAGACCACCTTATTCGTCTTCGTGACGAATTAAATTCTAGTTATATATTTTTCTTATTTCTAACCACTTTTTTGTGAACAAGATAACTTGGAAATGGCTCAATCAAATGCCTAGAAATTTGGCACACATATGTATAGACATATGTACAAAGCACAATAACGTTTTCAACATTGACCTTCACTGATGACGTCATCTAGGCGCCATTTTGTAAAATTTTACGAAAATCAACTCATGATCATATCTTCATAACCAAAAGGTATTTCTCGTTCATATTTATCATGATCAAGGTCAATATCCGTCCGGTCAATAAAAGGTCAAATAACGCGCGCGTGCGCGTACGTCCGCGCGTCAATGCGCGCGCAAAATTTTGAAATGCTCAAAATCGTCTGAAAATCATTTTGCATACGTTTTAGGCCATTCTAAGCATTTTATAAAAAATCGCGCGTACGAGCATGCGCGCGCGTTTTCGCGCGTAAAACTTTTGCACAACATTGAATTGCCTTTTTTTTTTCTTTCATAATATACCACATATATTTACAAACATATTGATACCATGTTTGTCTCTTTATGACTATTAATAACGGAATGATCGACCGTTTAACATAAATCTCCATGCGCGCGAGCTCTTGTAATACATAGCATATATGGGCAAAAACACGCCTATACAAAATCCATTGTAGCTCTTTAGGATGCAAGGTGACCCCAATTCGTTTTCATATTTTAAAAGAGTATGATTCGGAAATATTGTTTCATGTCTCATTTGACCCTCAATTAACTCATGACGTCATCATAATGGCCTCCGAACTCAAAATTCCAATTTGCATATTATGACGTCAGCATATTTATGGAAAATTGATTGTATCTCTGTAAATATTGATCAATTTTCTTCCAAATTTTAATATGTTCTAGCTGAGACAAATTTCTACAAATGCAGTAAGTACTATTCTTCATTTTGACAAAGGTATCATGGCGTATTTTTGCGATTAAAGGAGGCATGTCAATTTTTCACATTTTGCGTGTATTCTCTATGGGACATGACTTTTTCTCAAAACTCGATTCTACATTCCCGTCTTTCGCGGGCAACATCTACGTCATTTTAGCTTCATTTACGCTGAACTTCGAGTATGATGTAGCTGAGACAATTAGCTATCTCAAATGTGCCCTTCATTTTGTCTAAAATGTTAGCTGGACCAGCCCACCTATACTTGTACCAAACAAGTATTACAAATCTAGTTTTCTTTGCTTTTCTTTTTGCATTTTTCAAAATACAATATCTGAAGAAAAAAAACATGTAAACAGAAGGTATGATATAAATATGCGAACAATAATAACTTCATGTCAAAAGATGATTTACAAATATATGTAACGACGAACTTTACGTTCTATAGTATAGTATTACGAATTTAAAGAATTATCCTAACTACCTGTGGAAAAGTGCTAGAGAACGCCATCGTAAGCGATGCTTGACTAGGATGGCGACCTCAAAAGAAAAATTTTAAGGAGAAATTCAAATGAATATGTGTTCAAGCGATCATTATGTATGTGAGAGGGTGTGTGTGTTTGAGGCGAATAGTGGATTCGGTAGTAAGAGAGTGAGGTATAATTTGTTTTATATTATTACTGATTTCATTCGATTTGATGTTCGATCGTAATTAATGAATTGCACATGTATTACATTATTTTAGTTACGTTATTATG